GGTACAAAAAGTCTATGTTGCGACAAATTTTGTCACAAATAACTGGTGGTCAACCCTCAAAATAAGCACGATGTAATTTTATTTGTTGCGTTTTTTGTACGTAACAAAAACATCGATCATGTTTTTGGAACAACATATATCCGTAACAAGAAATTCGGAACAAAAGTTAAATCTTGTCAGAGAACTATTTGTTACGACATACTTTCGAAATAGAAAATGCGGTACAAATATGGAATCTTGTCAAAAAAAATTTTGTTGCAATCTTTTTCCGTAACAATAAATGTGTTACAAAAGTAGTGTCATGTCAGAAAATTGTTTGTTACGAAATTTGTTCGTAAAAATTTAATGTAAACGTAAAACACCTTTTGTACCGTCCATTGTCCGCAACTAAAATTCCGCTACGAAAGGTGTCCATGCCTCAAATAAGGATTTTGTCACCACAAATATAATCTAATTTTTAAAGTATTTGTTATGGATCAATATGCGTCATAAATAATTTAAAACATAATTTTATTATAATTCATCTGAGATCTTGTGGTTGCTTATGTTAGGAGAAATATGGCAAAACAAAACACAACACACGTGACAAGAACAACCAACATATCGAAATCTAGTTTATCTTTAATCTCCTTCAATAGTTTATCCAATTATGTCCTATTTTATATTGTCCTTTTTCTTCTTCTTTTTTTCTTTTTTAATTTAAGTTTAGTTTCATGTTAATTTCTAATTCCAATAGATTTTAACTTAAATCTATCGAAATCATGCGTCTAGACTCGAAGCCGTGTAGGCTCCAACGACGGAGTCGCCCCCCAATCCAACGACGGACAAACTCTTTAGACTACTTCAAGAACTCACACTAACTAAACTGACGAACAGTCTTAGAGCCTCAGAATTTTAGGTTCCAAGAATCGCGGCTGCCAACAAATTTACTATTAGCAACTACAGACATGCATCCGACAACGTCCCCTCCTTCTCCGCTAGCTATATATGTTTATAGCCTCTAAAATGGAAATCGGCTTGTCCAGTTGATCAATATCAATGTTTCCCTAAAGCCATTGACAACATCATTCTAGATCAATGCCATTAGTAATCTCAAATAATAGATATATATATATATATATATATGATAAAGACAAATCTTGAAATCAACCTGAAGAAACGGTCGTAGTTCAACAAATTAAATATACAAGTTGCTGCCCTGCCCATGCATCAGCCCACCCTGGCCATATTAATTTCTTGGCGCTAAACAATAGCTACCAATACCACCTAGAACAGACCTCTAACCATCTTATGAAGTAGATACTACAGCATTTAGTTTACTGTACATATGATAAACAAAGAAAAGCATTTCGTATATTAATTATTTTGTAGTATGTTTAGAAAATCATATCTTCCATAAATCCTAAGCAATTAAACTCTTTATGCTTTTACTATTTAATCAAATTAAATAAATACTTAATTTATTATATAAAAATAACACATAACACAATAAAACAAACTATTATAGTGCGTTGACCTAATAAAATTTTCACATAAAAATATTACCAAAAAAATATAATATACATATATATTTACATAATATATAATATTCATTTACTCACTCATATTTATACTCCTTCCGTCCTAAGGAATTTGGGCGTGTTACTGTAGATACGTGAATTTAGGTAAAACATGATTAGTAAGCAATTAAGAAGTGTATTAGTAAAAATAATTCTTATATAGTAAAAATAATTATTATATAGTAAAAATAATTATAGATTAAGATTAAGATAACTAAATAGTTTAATTAAAATAAAAAAAAAATTAAAATATAAAATTTAAAATATAATTAAAGTGTATAATTATATTTTCAAAAAAGGAAAGGACAAGTTATGCGGGTAGGGGAAAATAAAAAATATGAACAAATTATGTGGGATGGGGGGAGTACCATTTTTTAAAGTTGTCATAAGAAAATATTTTTGTTTCTTTCTTTCAGTAAAAATACATCATATTTTTGTATTTTTTTACTATACAAGGTAAAAAGTAATTATTATTATTCACTTTCATTAAAATTTGTGATCAAATATTTGAGCACATATTTGAATAACGGATGAAGTATATATTTTATCAACTTATTAAATTAATGCAAAATTGCACAAAACCCACTCATGATTTAAAAAATGCGTCAAATTCCTTCATTGTTTCATAAAGCTATGCCTAACCCCATCGGTCATCCTTATCTAACGGTGTTTGACTCGCACTTACTCAAATTACGAATGAATTTCAGAATCTCAATCTTTAAACTACTAAAAATCATCCTTCTTATATTTAGCATCAAGAAACATAAAAAAATTCTTAGAACCTGTTGGACATGGGTTCAAAAGCATCTGAACATGAAGTAGGCTCAAAGATAAAAATGGAGCCAGAACTCCTTGGACTATGGTGCCTCCATCTTGGAATAATGCTTCCACAAGGTTAGAAATTAATGCCACAATTGGGTTGAAAACAGTTACGTCCATTAGATTGCGGTGCTTCCACAAAATAGAGGATGGTTGACTCCACAAGATAGAAAACAATAGCTTACACAGATCATAGGATAACTACTTCTATTGGCCCTGGGTTAATAATTTTTTACTGAACATTAGTGAAGGGCCTATACACTTTTATATTTTATTCAAAAAGCTCCATGGAACAAACCAACAATAGGAAAACCAAAGATTCCATTTAACTCGAGGGTGTTGGGGACACATCACCGTAGACCGGCTAGGAGTATTATGGAAACAAGTCGGAGTAAGCGGCAAATCTTGTCCAGAGGCAATGGAAGAAGTTCAGAGCAAGTGGAACCCGGTCCAGAGGCAATGAAAGTGGTTGGGAGCTGATGGAAGGAGGTTACCAAGTGGTTAGGAACTGATGGAAGGAGGTTACCAGAGAACTGATGGAAGGAGGTTACCAGACAGTTAGAGGTAGTGGAAGGAGGTTACCAGGCAGTTGGAGGTAGTTGAGGTAGGTTACCAGACGATTGAGAGTAGTGGAGGTATAATTGGAACTGCTCATTTTAGTGGAAGAGACGATTATTCTATCTTAGAATTAAAACTAGGAAAAAACACATTACACACACGCACAAGAATATGAACTCGTATATTTCTCTATTTCTCTTTCATATTTTAGTTCCTGTTTATGCATTTTAATGCGAATTATATGTTTTTATGTTTGCAGCATATTTTTATCCGTTTTCCAATAGATTTATCCAAGTTTTAGTAGATGTTAGTTTAAATCCATTGACATCGGTCGTTTAGGCTCGAAGCCTGGTTTAGGCTCGAAACCGTGTAGGCTTTATTGAAGGAGCCGCCCAAAATATGACGATGGACAAGCTCTTTGGAGTATTTCTGGAACCCGCACTGACGAATCAACAAACGGTCTTGGAACCTCCGAATTTTAGGATCCAACAATTGGCACGTCTAGCGGGACCAAAGTCGGATTTTTCAAAGAGTGATGTCGAGATTTACATGGGGTTCATTTGTACCGCCTGAAGAAAGCTACAAAATTGCTGCAAAACATTTAATGTTTCATGCCTTAGGGCCGGGGCAGGCAAGATCAGGCTGGAACCAATAGCCTGTAGGAAGCTGGAAGCAACATTCTGCGGAGGGCTGGAACCACCAGTGTGTGGAAGGCAGGTTCCAACAGCCTACGGATGGCTGGAGCCAACAACTTGTGGAAGGCTAGCAATAGCCTGCAGAGAGCTAGAACCAACAGCCTGCGAAGGGCTGGAAACACCAGTTTGCGGAAGGCTGGAACCAACAGCCTGCGGATGGCTGAAGCCAACAGCTTGCGGAGCGTTGGAGCCAACAGCCTGCAGAGGGCTTGAACCTCTTGACCGTTGGAGTTTTGAAGAGCAGTGTTGAGCCTCTACGAGGGGCAAGCAAATTTCCAGCATTTGGCATGATCCCGCCAGATTGATTAAGTGGACAACCTATGTGGAATACGCCAACACCACCATGGGGATGTCACGGTCCAAATGTCGCTAATCTCCAATGGAAGAGGATCATCAAAACACAGGGGCAAAGAGGGCAGGCCGCAGAGATGCAACCGCCAACCTTGCATCAGTAGGCAGCCAGAGTGCAGCCGCTGACACCATATCAATGGGAGGCCAAGCCTCTAATGGACCTTGATGTCATTGCAGATTGCATAAGGAGGGCATTTTCAGAAAGAAGGTTTGGAAAGAAGCGTAGTGCCACTTTGAGCATGGAAAATTCACCTCCATACGAAAAAGAAGCTGCAGGGGCAGAGACTCCAGATGTTGTGGAGGCTCCAGTCAAAAAGGAGTCTGCAGAGACAGAGGTTTCAGAAGCCATTGAAGCTCCAGAGCTTGTGGAGGGAGAGACTCCAGAGGTTGTGGAGGCTCCAGTTGAAAAGGAGTCTGCGGAGTCAGAGGTTTCAGAAGCCATGGAAGCTCTAGAGCTTGTGGCGGCAGAGACTCTAGAGGCTGTGGAGGCTCTATTCAAAAAGGAGTCTGCAGAGATAGAGGTTCCAGAAGCCATGGAAGCTTCAAAATTTTTGGAGGAAGAGACTCAAGGGACCGTGGAGACTCCTAACGAAAAGGAGGATGTAAGGGCAAAGGCTCCTTATGAAAAGGACTTTGCAGGGACAGAGGCTCCAGAGACTATGGACACTCCATACGAAAAGGAAGCTGTAGGGGATGATACTCCAAAGGCTATGGAGGTTCCATATGAAAAGGAGTTTGTAGGGGTAGAAGCTCTAGCAACTTCAGACAAAAAGGACTTTGCGGAGGCAGAAGCTTTGGCCACAAAATTAGAAAATGGAAAGAATTATTTGTGTCCGGCATTGAAGCCGACCAAAGGGTTTATTTCTTTTTCTAATACTATGTCGGCTAAAGTGGTTATGAAAGACAGACTTAGCACCTAGCCGTCAAAACCTTGGTTCAAGACTGTCTAGGATCGAAGGCACCTGCTAAAAAAATTGTCTTCACAAGAGTGACATTTCATAAAATCTCAAGTTCGAACATGGCGAAGGTAAGACAAAGGATGGTCAAAAGGGAGCTTAATATCGGTGTCACCATCCCAAGTCCGAAAGCCTCAAGATTGGAGAAGAGGAAAATATACAAAGGACCTAAGCCGGAGGCATCATAGAAGAAGTGAAAGTCACAAATGGGAACGGATTTGGATTGTTACCACGTCTGAGCAGATCACCATCATTCCTGAGGTGACACAAAAGCCTCCTACCGTGAAGGAGAATGAAAAATGGATTGTGAATGAGCAGAAGCTTTCCACTACGGGGGCAATAAGGGGACTCACCAAGACTCAAAAGAGGCAAGCTCAAAGATGAAAGTTGGAGGCACTTATGGAGGAGGAAAGGTCACATGTGCCGTCTCCAAAAGAAAAATAGATGGAAGAGTTGTCTCCAAAAAATAAGCAGACTATGGAGCCGCTTCCAGAAAGACAGTAGGCTACAGAGCTACTAAGGAAGCAGGTTGTGGAGCCGCTTTCAGAAAGAAAACAAGCCAGAGAGCCGCTAAGGAAGCAGGCCATGGAGCTTCCTCCAAAAAAGAAGTAGGCTATGGAGCCGTTTCAGAAAGAAAGCAAGCTGCAGAGCTGCTAAGAAAGCAGGTTGTGGAGCCGCTTCCAGAAAGAAATCAAGCCATGGAGCCGCCAAGGAAGCAGGCCATGGAGCCGCCTCCAAAAAAGAAGTAGGCTATGAAGCCGCTTCCAGAAAAAAATTAGGCCATGGAGCCGCCAAAGAAGCAGGTTTTGGAGCTGTTAAGGAAGCAGGTTGTGGAGCAGCTTCCAAAAAGAAAGCAGACCATGGAGCCGCCAAGGAAGCATGCCATGAAGCCGCCAAGAAAGTAGGTTGTGGAATCACTTTCAGAGAGAAAGCAGGCTGTGGAGCCCCTAAGGAAGCAGGTTGTGAAGCCGCTTCAAGAAAGAAAGCAGGCTGTGGAACCGCTAAGGAAGCAGTTGGGGAGCCACTTCCAAAAAGAAAGCAGGCTGTGAAGCCTCTAAAGAACCAGACTGTGGATTCTTTTCCGAAATGGAAGCAAGTGGAGAAGCTTTCGGAAGAATTCAAAACTCCGGAACAATTTCAAGAGTTAGAGAAAGTTGTTTGACGAAGAGCCTATCTTCGAATGGAATGATGTGGCAACAATGATAGAATTTAAGAGGCTCGGGCCTAGCTAAAACGACCATGTCAAGCATTTCGACATTCGTTTCTTGATGAATGGCTATCCGTTTGACCAAGTTCTGGTGGACAGTGGAGCTTCTGTGAACATGTTTCCAATTGAGACCTTACGGAAGTTCGGAAAGACTAGTGACGATTTGATTTCTATATTTGTACGGCTTACCGATTTTATGGGAAATTCTTAGAAACTAGCAGGTTTGATCACTTTGAATGTGCAGGTGGGGACAAAGGAAATATAATCAAATTTCATGGTGATCGATAGTAGGCCATTCTATTCGGCTCTCTTGGGACGAAATTGGATTCATGTATGCGAATGTGTGCCTTCGACACTCCATCAAAACTTAATATTTTGGGATGGAGATTAAGTCCAAGAAGTGGAGGCCTAGAAGGATCCTTGGTCGACGGAAGTGACCACAGTTGATTCAAGTGAACGGCTCAAAGCAAAAGGACATGGGCTCAATCGAAGCAATCGCCCAACCCTTTTGAGGAGGGCATTGTTGGATATGGGTTCAAAAGCATCCGAACGTAAAGTGGGCTGAAAGATAAAAATGGAGCCAAAACTCTTTGGCCACGGAGCCGCCGAACAGCAATGGAGCTTTAAGCCTCGGAGCCAAAGACTGCTGCCTTCACATAGCCGAAGGCAACAACTTCCATAGGATTGTGGTGCTTCCACAGGGCCGAAAGCAACAGCCTCCATGGATCTTAGGGCAGAAACTCCTTGGACTACGGTGCCTCATCCTGGAATAATGCTTCCACAAGGTTAGAAATTGTTGCCTCTATTAGGTTGAAAACAACTACCTCAATTAGAATGCGGTGCTTTCACAGAGCAAAGAAAGGTTGCCTCCACAAGATAGAAAGCAACAGCTTCCACAGATCATGGGATAATTACCTCCATTAGCCCTGGGTTAATAATTTCGTACTGAACACTAGTGGAGGGCCTATGCACTTTTATAATTTATTCAAAAAGCTCCATTGAACAAACCAACAAGAGAAAACCCGAAGATTCCATTTAACTCGAGGTTATTGGGGACACATCCCCATGGACCGGCTAGGAGTACGATGGAAACAAGTCGGAGTAAGCAGCAGATCTGGTCCAGAGGCAATGGAAGAAGTTCAGAGCAAGTGGAACCTGGTCCAGAGGCAATGGAAGAAGTTCAGAGCAAGTGGAACCTGGTCCAGAGGCAATGGAAGTGGTTGGGAGCTGATGGAAGGAGGTTACCAGGTGGTTAGGAGCTGATGGAAGGAGGTTACCAGGGAACTGATGGAAGGAGGTTAGCAGACAGTTGGAGGTAGTGGAAGGAGGTTACCAGGGAACTGATGGAAGGAGGTTACCAGACAGTTGGAGGTAGTGGAAGGAGGTTATCAAAAAGTTGGAGGTAGTGAAGGGAGGTTACCAGACGGTTCAGAGTGGTGGAGTAAAAAACACATCACAAACACGCACAATAATATGAACTAATGTATTTATCTATTTCTTTTTCACATTTTAGTTCCTGTTTATGCATTTTAATTCGAATTACATGCTTTTATGTTTTTAGCATATTTTTATCCATTTTATAGTAGATTTACCCGAGTTTTAGTAGATGTTAGTTTAAATCCATCGAAATCGGTCATTTAGGCTTGAAACCGTGCAGGCTCCACCGAAGGAGCCGGCCATAATCCGACAACGGACAGGCTCTTTGGAGTACTTCTGGAACCCACACCGACGAATCGACGAACGGTCTTGGAACCTCCGAATTGGATCCAACATAACCAAAGAAAAATAATTATTTATATATTTTTAATGAATCTAAATATAAGAAAAATAAGTATATTTTTAATTTCAAAGGTTTATACATAAAAAAGTTTAAAACTCATTCGCATTTTGAGCGCGCCAGTCAAACACCGTTAACTAAGGACGGCCGAGGAAGTTAGACGCAGAGTTTATAAAATCATGAGAGAGTCTAAAGCAGTTTTCAAACTATGGGAGATTTGACACAATTTCGTAAATTAAAACCATACGTGGATATGTACAATTTTGCCTACATTTAATAATTATCACAAAATATTTGATAGCCATAAATCGCATGCGTTAAGTATTTATATTATTTGCGATATTTGGTTGATTTTGATTAGATTCTACCTGATTTGGGCATATATTGTTTGTTTATAATTTTTAGGAGAAAAATAATAAAATTGATATAATTAGTGGGAAAAGAGAACAAAAAGGTCCAAGGCCCAATTGTTAAAAAATTAGGGCAAATATAAAAGAAAGAAAGAAGGGGGAGGCGACACTTTATGCCACTTGCCGAGGAGAAAACCGTGCAGAAGAGTCCCAGAGAGAAACCGTGTAAGGGCAAGAAGAAAAAGATTCTTCCAAGAAGATTTCGAGTTCTACCCCTACCAACATCATTATGTTTCTCTTTGCTTCATTTTTCTTTGTTCTTTCTCCTATGATTAGCGAGTAGTTTACCTTTCTAGTCTAGGAGTGGAAAACGACTTGGTATGGATTTGGGAGTTAGACTTGTTTTGATATATGAGATTTCTTTGGTTCCTAAGTATTTCCGTGGTTTTTAATTCTTTGAATTATAATCTTTTATTTGGTTGGGTATTGTGGCCAGGTATTTCAATTGGATTAAGGATTAATTGCTAAACTAAATTAGACGTCCGTAATTGCATTCTAATTTGGTTTAAATAGCAACTATTGGCAGACACTATTAGGAAATCACAGAATCAATATTAAACAATTTCGCATAGTTAATTGTTAAATTGAATTAGGCTCTTCTAGTTCGCAAGGCGATTAGGCTAGTAAATTCTTTGTGGCGTCACTACGGTTCTAGTCTAACCAGGGAAGCAGTTGACGGGCGTACCTAGACTGTCAAGAAATTAAGAAAGAGTTGGTTATTAGGCGCGTGTCGGTAACTATAACTAATTTATTTAGAAACCAATAAAACTAAATATTTATCGATGATCAAATCCACTACCCAAGTTGTCAATTTCATTCCTAGACTGGAAACTTGTTTTAATTGTATTTATATGTTAGTCGTAGAGTTTTTAGTTTGTTATTTTATTTTTATTTCCTACTTTCAAAATCCTCCATTTTATTATATTTATAAATCAAACAATCAAGAATAGAACCTTTTTATATCCCTGCGGAGACGACCCTACTTCATCTATACTACGTTATTTTTATTGTAGAAGTAGGTTTATTTTATTTAAAATTTTGCAGCGTGTGACAAACACCTGTCAAATTTTGGCGCCGTTGCCGGGGAATTTTAATTGGTTTATTTATTTTTGGTTTTTATCTATTACCTAAAAAATTTGATTTTTTCTGGTTTATGTCCTGATATGATCACACAGGAAACTTGAGTTTTGATCTCGAAATTGAGAATACTGCCCATCGATTGAGAAAAGATTCTAGGGAGCGTCGCCAAAAAGATTTAGCTTCAGAATCATCTAGCGATTTTAGTTCTGACGAGATCGAGCTAGAATAAGATATGGATCAAAGGACATTAAGGGAGCTGGCAGCCCCTAACTTGACACAGCAGCATCTCTGCATCACATACCCGATGGTAGACGGTAACAATGCTTTTAAATTAAAATCATGACTAATACACTTGTTGCCTTCTTCCATGGGTTGTCAGGAGAAGAGCCACATACGCATCTTCAAGATTTTGATGCCGTCTGCACAAGTATGAAGCCATAAGAAGTAACAGAAGATCAGATCAAGCTTCGTGTTTTTCCCTTCTCATTGAAAGATGCTGCAACAGATTGGCTATTTAATCTACCTGTCGGAAGCATTACTACATGGACTGATATGGAAAGGAAGTTTCTCGAAAAGTACTTTTCTGCTTCACGAGCTGCGATCATGAGGAAAGAGATATGCGGAATGACACAATATACAGGGGAGTCTTTATTTGAATATTGAGACCGTTTTAATGCTTTACTTATTCGATGTCCCCATCATCAAATCTCCGCGCAATTACTGATTCAATATTTCTATGAAGGTTTGACTTCCATCGATAGGAAAATCATAGACGCAGCAAATGGAGGAGCCTTGATGAACAAAACTCCTAGAGAGGCGTGGGACTTACTGAAAAATATGGCGATCCACAACAATTCGGACCAAGAGAAGCAGTAGGATTTAAAAAAGCAAGCGAGGTGAGTTCTATTCAACAACAATTAACTGAACTGACTTCATTTGTTCGAAAATTTGTTGTAGCAAAGGCATAAGTTAAGGCTTGCGGAATTTGCACAATTTCGGAACATCCTACGGATATTTGTCCTACCATGAGTCAAGAAGTAGATGTCAGTGCTGCAGGATTCATCTCAAGAGCATACAACCACTACTCGAATACCTACAATCTAGGATGAAAGATTAGCTGAACTTAAAGTATGTGAATCAACAAGCTGACTTTGGAGATCACTCGAGAGGATTTCCAGCACCTAACCACCCTCCACAACCCGCTCAAACGGTTCTGAGTAATTCCTTAGAGGATATGATGATAACTATGGCGTCTAACATGTTGTAATTTCAATTGGAAACTTGGAATAGCATAAGAAACTTGGAAGAACAAGTCAAATAGCGATTGAGATGTGCGAGATGAAGTCAAGAGAAAAAGGCAGATTGCCTTCACAACCCGATGCCAATCCGAGGAATGTGAGCTCGATTGTTATACAAAGTGGCAAAGATTTAGAATTATCAAAAGCTGAAGTTCTAAAGGACAAGAGTGAGGATGCCATTGAGAAAGAAATAGAGAAAGCCACCACTGAAACATCGAACAAGGTAACTTTCGATACACCTACTAATACTAAAACTAATGTTGCTCCGTTTTCTTGCAGGTTGGCGAAACCAAAGAAGGATGGCAGAAATAAGGAGATGATGAAGATGTTTCGAAAGGTGGAATTGAACATACCCCTACTGGATGCGATCAAGCAAGTGTCGAAGTATGTAAAATTTCTGAAGGATCTTTGTGTAAACAAGAAGAGACTACGTGGAGACGAATGCATTATTGCTGGTGAGAGCGTATCTTCCGTTTTACAACGTAAGCTTCTTCCTAAATGTGGAGATCCAGGTATGTTCTCGGTTGCTTGTAAGATAGGTCAGTTGAAGATTAAACGAGCAGTGTTAGATTTAGGAGTTGCAATTTATGTGATGCCTAAGTCTATTTACAAATCTTCGAATATTGGACCTTTAAAGAAAACTGGAATTATTATACAATTAGCCGATAGGACAAATGCTTACCGTGAAGGAATGATTGAAGATGTCCTAGTGTAAATTAACGAATTAATTTTTCCGGTTGATTTTTATGTGCTTGATATGCATGATGATAATTCTCCAAATCCTGCACCGATTTTACTAGGCAGACCATTCATGTGCACCGCACAAACTAAAATTGATGTGAAACAAGGTATACCTTCTATGGAATTTGATGATAAGAAAGTTCAATTTAATATTTCTGATTCTATAAAATACTTTGAAAAATCTAATGCACTGTGCAGTGTGAATTTTATTGACAAAAGTATGCAGGGAGTCTTGAGATTGCATGAGAAATCTATCCTGGACATAAAATCGAAGTCGCATCCGAATCAGTTGAAACATGTTCACTTAAATGATGATGTGAATCTTGCAGAGAAATTTTTTGTGAGTAATCATCATTTTAAATATGCAAGTAAAAGACAAAAAATGAAGTGGGTAAGACAGTCTGAAGTAGTGCTACCCAATGGCTAACATGGTAACTACATCTAGCCAAAGACGTTAAAGAAAGACACTTCTTGGGAGGCAACCCAAGTTTTCTAGCTTTATTTCTTTTATTTTCTTTAGTTTTAGTTTTTTTAAATTTTATTTTTTAAACATCGCCTATTTGATTTGGATTCTTTGTTTTTTGTAGGGAACTTCTTGGAGAATTTTGAAAAAAAAAAAAAATCCGTCGTCTTTCTTCCTCTTCCTCCCCGAGCTATCAATTTTGGTGTTGGCTAAAAGAGACAAGCAATCAACTTGAAGAAATTTGGAATCCAAAGCAAAAACATGCAGTCGCACCAATCCTACGGATTCCAGGGAAGTTCATCTCTTATTTTACTTTTTTTTTTTTTTATTGAGGACAATGTTTGCTTTAGGTGTGGGGAGAGAGTAATGCAAAATTTTTGGGCAAAATTTTTATTTTGTGCTACTTTTGATCCCTGATTTGTTGTCCTTTCGCATGTTTTTTAGATTTTTCTGAAGTTAGTCAAAGGTGGTTTGAGTGATAGGTTAGTCTGACATGATTGATGACATTGGATTTGAAATATGTTGAGCCAGGTTGAGTATATATTCAAAAATCTTACATTAGAAAATAAACTATATATTATCAAGCTTTTGGAAATTCTTTCTTGTGTGATTTAAAGTGCTCAATTAGATGACCTAAAACTTGAGTGATTATGCATGTTGAACTTGCAACTATCGAGTCTTGCATTTTGAAAATGATAAGGGCATTAGGTAACCCATTGAGCCTTTCTTATCACCCAGCACAATATATTTCTCCTAGTTAGCCCATTTGAGACTTTTTAGCCTATTTTTCTTCTACATATTAAACCGTCTTTAGTCTTATACCCTTCTTTTGATATTAAGCCTTCTCCGATTTGAACCCTATATTAGAAAGAATTACCTTAAGTTCACGTTGTGATGCACCTTATTTGTTCGGCACCAGTTAGAAATGAAGTTTGAGTATATATAAATAATGCATTCAGAAGTGTTTGCTTCAATGAAAATGGGTAGTGAAAGGCATATATATATATATATTTAAAGAAAAGAGGCGAAAAAAAAAACCAACAAAAGAAAAGGCCCCAAAAAGATAAAAATAAAATAAATCTTGATAAAGTATTATTGATATAATTATGTTACTAAGGTTTGGGTAGTGAATAAAGTAAGGGTTTCATTGTTTATGCTGAACTGTTTTTCACATGCTAGCATCGTGTTCTTATTGTGTTTTTTTTTTAACATATTTTAGCCTTTGCATATCCTTTTCCCTACCCCTAACCATCAGCCCCGTTACAACCTTTATAAAAAAGTCCCTTCGATTCTTGATGTTAGATTCGAGTATTTTAAGCAAGGGAGATTTGATTTTCATTCAAGCCTATTGGATAATCTTTTGTCGCACTACTTGAGCGTTAGCTGATTATATACATTTATTTTTTTTCAGAGATCATGTGTGCATACACTTTATCTTGTGAGGTTGAGTTGGCTTGATGGTTGAATTTCCGATTGATTTGGTTCAGTTAGATTTTCTTGTCATATTGAGTCACCTGTGATTTCTTTTGGCTTGTTTCGGATTTATGCTTGAGGGCTATCATGATCTAGGTGTGGGGAGATTTTATAGCTATAAATCTCATGCGTTAAATATTTATATTATTTGTGATATTTGGTTGATTTTGATTAGATTCTACCTGATTTGGGCATATATTGTTTATTTATAATTTGCAGGAGAAAAATAGTAAAATTGATATAATTAATGGGAAAAGAGAACAAAAAGGTCCAAGGCCAAATTGTTACAAAATTAGGGCAAATATAAAGAAAATAAGGAAGGGGGAGACGCCACTTTATGCCACTTGCCGAGGAGAACACTGTGCAGAAGAGTCCCAGAGAGAAACCGTGCAAGGGCAAGAAGAAAAAGATTCTTCCAAGAAGATTTCGAGTTCTACCCCTACCAACATCATTATGTTTCTCTTTGCTTCATTTTTCTTTGTTCTTTCTCCTATGATTAGCGAGTAGTTTACCTTTCTAGTCTAGGAGTGGAAAACAACTTGATATGGATTTGGGAGATTAGACTTGTTTTGATTTATGAGATTTCTTTGGTTGCTAAGTATTTATGTGGTTTCTAATTTCTTTTAGTTATAATCTTTTATTTGGTTGGGTATTGTGGCCAGGTATTTCAATTGGATTAAGGATTAATTGCTAAACTAAATTAAGCGTCCGTAATTGCGTTCTTATTTGGTTCAAGTAGCAACTAGTGGCAGACACCATTAGGAAATCACGGAATCAATTTTAAACAATTTTGCATAGTTAATTGTTAAATTGAATTAGGCCTTCTAGTTCGCAAGGCGGTTACGCTAGTAAATTCTTTGTGGCGTCACTACGGTTCTAGTCTAACCAGGGAAGCAGTTGATCAATGCAAGACAACATCATACTCACTTAAGGGTCCCGATACAATACTTCCCAAGATTTGATCAATGCAAGACAACATCATACTCATTTTTCTTTTCACGAGTCCTTTTTTTTTTTAGGACTCGGAATATTTTATTTTCTTTCCTTCTTTTTTAACACAACCTCCTTTTTTTTAGTGTTTTTTTTTTAGGAAGTTGGTCAATGAAATACTTTTGGCAAAAATATATATGAATTTATAATTGTGCCATATAAATGAGAACTTTCAAATGCAACTATCGAATAATATAGTGATGATATGTAACTCTAAATAATCTAATGTAATGAATCAAAGAACAATCCCTCGAGTTCCCATGAGTTCAAGTAAACATTCGGCTTATTCCCAGAAAAAGGCATATCGGCTCGGGTTAAATATGAACCAAGAAAAATAGGATAATAACATTAAGCTCAAACTTTGGTTCACTAGGGGATAATAGGGGTGAAAGTATGAAATTAAGGCCAACGAGGGTAAACCTACTGCCTTATCATTATAATCTCATCAATTCTCAATAAACGCGGAGTTAATAAGCATAAGCAGGTAAGTTCTAGGTAGTCAAATACAACATATGTTCACACAATCCAAAAAAAATTGATCATATATGATATGTATGAGTGAATTTGCTCAAATAAGGCTCAAATAACTCACTTAAGGGTTCTTTGTTAGAAGGCTAAGCACACACATCATCTAACTTCATCAACAACACGGCAAGATCCTAATAAACTAAGTAAAGCACAACAATCTCAGCTCGACATACACAAGAGGACATATAGGGAAGTATATCAAAATAAAGCATTATAGAGCATCAAAAGAATTCTAATCTCCCTCCACACCTAATTAGTGCAATGTCCCTATTGCAAGAACAAAGATGAAATAAAAGAAAGGAGAAAAGAAACTTCCCTGGTATAGGTGGGGGCGACCGGCCACTGAGAAAGAGATCCGAGACTCGCATTGGTTGGGGCAATAGGAGGGATCCAACTCTTGCACCTCGCCCATCGTGCCTTCACGCAAAAAAGTTCAACAATAAAATTAAAATTCTTCAATAAATTCCACAAAACATTTGCACTAGCAATTATACCCGACACTAAACATAAATCTCAAATATGTATTCCATGTGCAATCGACAATTTCACCATCACAACATCATTCTCAATCATCTATTGCATCAAAGAACCTCTACGAAAATCGCCCAAATTAAAATTCTTTATCATCAACTGATTTTATATAATATCTAGGCAATAATCGATAGAGGTTAACCAAGAGAATGCAATAGAGTAAAAAGTAGGAGAATTCCCTGAAATCAAACCGGCAAACTGGAGAAAATCAAAGCAACGAACAGGACGGCTGGCTGGTGGCGTGGACCGGCTGAAAAACATCGGCGACTGATGGGTGACGTCGCGGAGGGGCGGCGGAATGGTGAACGGTTCAAACCGGCGGAGAAAAGAGGGAGGCGGCGGCTCCTTTGAGAAAGTGAGGGAGAGAGAAAAAAGAATTAGGGTTTTAAGGGTTATTATTATTATTATAGTAAGAATAGTAAATATAGTAATAATAATTCTAACGTAATTGCAATAATAAATATAGTAATAAATATGGAAATAAAAAATTAAAATTTAATTACTATAATAATAATTATAATTATAGAAACAATAATAAATATAGTAGTAATAAATTTAATAATTATAGTAGTAAATATCATAATAATTATAATTATAGACGTATTAATAAATATAATAATAATAATAATCATAATAATAATAATAAATATAGAAAAAAATATATATAATAAAAAAAATTATAGGTATAATAATAATAATTATTATTATTATATAAATAATAATAAATATAGTAATAATAAATTTAATAATAATAATAATATATATAATAAATATAATAATTTCCCAAAATAAACCCTCTTTTTGCACAATTTTTCAGAATGTAAGACTTCATTAGGCATGATCACGCCCAAAAAAGTTTTACGTTCTGATTTCTTTAAAAATTTCTCCCTTTTATCAATCACAACACACTAGATGCGGGGCCACGCCTAAGAACTTTGTCCATTATGATCATCCAACCATGAATTTTGTTACATGGATCAAAACACCAAAAATCAAGGCGTGAGACTGACTCACAAACACAACAAAAACTCAAAGCACACAAAATAAAATTAAAACACATAGCCGCTCACCGCACTGCTATGCAAGGATGCTCAATTTGATTGGTCGAGCGAGTGTGAGGAGGCTTTCCTCATTCTAAAGGAGAAACTAACCACTGCTCCCATCATTTCTCCACTAGTGTGGAGCGAGCCTTTCGAGTTGATGGCGGATGCAAATGACTACGCCGTCGGCCCTATATTAGGCCAAATAGTGGAATCCAAGCTGAACGTCATTTATTAAGCCAGTAAGACGTTGTATTCTTCTCAGAAAAATTACACTACTACCGAAAAGGAGTTGTTTGCTATTGTCTTTGCTTTCGAGAAATTTAGGCAATATCTTATCGACAGCAAGACCATTGTACACACAGACCATACAGCGATCAAATACTTGATGGAGAAGAAGGAAAATTATGGGTGTTGTTGCTCCAGGAATTCAATATAGAGATCAAGGATAGGAAGGGGAAGGAAAATTATGTTGCCGACCACCTTAGTAGATTAAGGCAGACATAGGACATATCTCCAGGAATCATAGAATTATTCCCTAATGAGAAGTTGTTCTTAGTGCAAGGGAAGGAGCCATGGTTTGTTGATCTGGCAAATTTCTTGACCACGGGGTAGTTTCCTACTCATACTGTACAAAAGGAAAAAAAATAGATTGCTCAGTTTGGCAAATGATTATTTTGGGATGAACCTTATTTGTTCAATATTAGCTTTGATGGGATAATCCGCCACTGTGTAGCGGAATCTGAGGTCCCTCTGATTCTGAATGAATGTCATGAGTCCCATGTAGGAGGGCATTTCGCTGGCCTGCGCACAGCGGCCAAAGTTTTGTAGTCAGACTTCTTTTGGCCTACCCTACAAAAGGATGTTTATGGCTTTGCCAAAGCTTGCGATAAATGTCAACGATTGGGCTCTATCTCAAAACGGGATGAGATGCCTCAAACTGGAATCTTGTTTGTCGAAATTTTTTATGTATGGGGAATAGATTTTATAGGCCCTTTTTCGAACTCAAATGGGAAATTATACATTCTGGTGGCGGTGGATTACGTGAGGAAGTGGGTCAAAGCGCAAGCGCTCCAAAAAAATGATGCTCGATCTATGATCCGCTTCCTAAAATATATCATATTCCAAAGGTTCGGGGTCCCCAAAACTGTCATAAGCGATGAAGGCACCCATTTCGTGAATAAGGTGCTGCAAACTTGCCTTCAACAATATGGTGTTCGCCAACATCTAACTACTCCCTATTACCCACAAGCAAGCGGTCAGGTGGAAGTTTCTTACAGAGAGATCAAACACATCCTCTAGACCACAATTAACAAAAGTCGCAAGAATTGGGCAGAAAATTTGGATGATGTGCTGTGGGCATATAGAACAGCCTTCAAAACTCCAATTGGGATGTCCCCATACAGACTTGTTTATGGAAAAGCCTGCCATTTACCTCTGGAACTCGAGCATCGTACGTATTGAGCTATCAAATATCTGAACTTTGATCTTCTCCCTGCATAGGAGAAGCGCACTGAATGATTGTTCGATCTGACTGAGTTCCGTTACCTTGCATATGAGAGTGCTAAACTCTATAAGGAAATGATAAAGTTCTACCATGACAAAAAGTTGAAGAAGAAAGAGTTCACCGAGGGATCCAAGGTTTTATTATATGATACTAGGCTTCACCTATTCCCAGGAAAATTGAGATCACGATGGACTGGGCCATATATAGTCAGATAAGTTCTTCCAAGTGTAGCCATAAGAATCGGAAATGTGGACAGCCCTACAGAAAGTGATTCCTTCCTATTCAATGGAGCGAGACTGAAACCATATGTTGAAGGGCCTATTTTGCAGCGGGCCAATGCAGAAATTAATCTGGTTGAGGTGCAAAAACTCGCTCAGTGATAGAGTCGAAACTAATATCCAGCGGCGCCTAATGTTAAAAATTGTCAAATTTACAGCTTTAGGTATCGCTTTCATTAGAATAGTTATTATCGCTTTCATAGTTAGAATTTAAAACTTTCATTCGTTTTCTTTAGAATAGTTGTTATTGCTTTGATAGTTAGAATTTAAAACTTTCATTATCGTTTTCTTTAGAATAGTTGTTATTGCTTTGATAGTTAGAATTTAAAACTTTTGTTTTTTTTTCTTTAGAATAGTTTTTATTGCTTTGAGAGTTAGGATTATTGTTTTCTAGAAGTAGTTTAAATGCTTTGAGTATTACTTTCTTAGGTAGGATAGATAGAATTTTAACTTCTAACCTAAGCCTGACGCAAGACAACCATCACGTCGCTTGTTTCACCCTGATACATACTGGAAGAGCAATATCGCTCACCCAATACCGCTTCCATTATCGCTTGCGTGTCATACATAGGTATTTAGAAGTAATGCTTTGACCGTTCAACCGTCCAGTAACCTTCCCTTATACCTTTATACTAATATAAATTGGATTGAAGTATCGCTTTCGCTCACGCTCTCCATATAGGCGCCCAGTGTCCTCTATAAATACCCTAGTTCACAGTCATTTTCCACTTTTACCCTACAGTAATTTCCTCAAGAAGCTTCAGAAACCGTCAGTTCTTCGCAGCCAAAAATTCAAAAATCTTGATCCCTCACCCAATTTTAGCTCAATCCTAGGTACGATCTAGGCTAACCTTAGTCTATGAACTCGATTTCATGGTTTACTTTATCTGGTTTGACGCAAAATAATGCATAACCAAAAATTATTTTCGCGAAAAACTATCTGTTCTTCAACTTTTGCGAAAATCTTTATACCCTCAATTTTTGTGATTCTAAGTCTGTTATCTGCTAGATTTAGATATAATAACTGATATCCTTGTTTTCTATGAATCAATTTTACAATAATCTATATATTTGCTTTTCCATGATTTTCCCCATCGTTCACAACGAAACCCTCTCTAGAGTGTTCTGTTTCGTTGTGAGGATGAAGACTTAGGTGTCAAATCACTGAGATTTAGGAAATTTTTGTCTGTTATTTGAATATTGTTTCCATTTTGGAACTAATAATTCAGGATTTAAAGTTTTCCAAATCAAACGATACAACTCTGCAAAACCCTAGGTTTAGTGCAAACTAACAAAATAGATCCAAAGAAACGAGAAGCGCCACTAAAGGAATTTGAGAAAGTTGAGGAAAGAGTTGACAAACGGATCCAGAGAATTAAATCAACTGACGGGAGGAAAGTGGTAACTACAACCTCAGGGGCTGAATTTGTGGAGCCGGCGCCGCCAGAGGCATACTACAGGAGGAGGAGGTTGTTGGAGTTAACTGAAGACTGGGGCAAGCTAAGAGAGTTGAAATCCATTCCATTCAAAAAATTCATCCCAGAGTTCACAGTAGACTACCTCAGATTCGAATACACTGAAGAAACTAAATAGAGGTATCCGGTGAGCGACTGGTGGCTTGGCTACGAAGAACTGAAGGATTTCCATCTGAAGGAGCTTGATAAAGAATTCGCTCGCCAAGCAGTAGAAGAAAAGGTGAGGGCCTTCTGCAACGAGAAAATCATAAGGAAGGATGCTGCTGAAGCTGCCAAGGACATGTTAAAAGCCAAACAATATAATTCTGTGCACTTTATGAACATAGAGGCGACGACAGCCTATGAAAAGGCGAAAGTGATGGGGATCTTCTACGAGAGAGGATTTGATCCCAAGAAAATATCAGCCCGCTCGCCGACTGGCTGAGGGAGTGGGGCCTGACCTGGTTGATACAGAACCTCAATGACCCAGTGGATGTATCACTAGTGAGAGAATTTTATGCCAATATGAGTCAAGCTGACAGTCCCCGGAACATATATGTCCGAGGAAGATGGGTGGACTGTTCAGTGAGAAAAATCAACCGTGTCCTGGGTTGGGAACACCACTACCCAACTCAAGAGATAGAGGACAAGCTGAAGGCAATGGAGGATTGCAACTCGCTCGAGTTGCAGTCGCTTTATAGGATATTCGCCACTGCCCCTGAGTATGAGAAGAGAAATCTAAAGTTCGGGTTGGTGGACGAAGAGAAAAAGGAATGGGTTAAGTGGTCACTGAGTCGAATCATGATCACCACTCACACCACCGATATCCACCCTGACTTCCTCATTGCACTGCGCTCACTCATGGAGGAGAAGGTTGATATTGATTTGGGCGTGATCATCTGCATAGATATATGGGCGAGAAGAAAAGTGAATCGAACGCTAGGTCAAGGAACCCTGATAACCGAACTATGCAAACGTGCGGGCATTTGATTTGCCCACTCCAGCCCCAAACTTACAAATGAAGCCGCTGCTCCCAGCGGCCTTCCACAAAATTTGGCTTGAGTCCAAGG